TGTATGGAAAACGATGAAATGAGTATCGCGCTAGATTTCCTTTCAATCGATACTTGTTGAAAAACTCATGCGAGATAAATATCTACGGCAAACTTTCTGAATATGAACGAAATCGGACCTTAAATACTGGTTTACCAAATATATCGACTGGTGCGCCTCCTATCGGAAAAATTTTTAGTTTAGTTATTCTTTTTCACATTCTTAATATAGGTGTTAAATATGAACTAAATCGGGCTCTAAATGCGGGTTTTGCAAATATCTCGACGCGTGCGCCACCTATCGGATTAGTGCATTGTCATCGAGTTCTGAGCCAACCGTGAAGTCAAGCAGGTCATCGGAAAGTTGCTCAAAAATTGATTGCAAGATTTGCCCCTAACAAACATGTATACATACATTCATACAAACAAAAGCTTGTAATTAAAAAAATCAAACTTGAATAGGGGAAAAATAGAAAAATTACGACTGTTTTGTCTTTTGATATATTTGTTAACTAATTTCGCAGAACCTATCAGGCCTATCGAAAAAAGATGTACGTACACTTTCATTTGCGTATCTTTTATTACGTTTGTTCAATTGGTTCGTAAGATATACTTGATTAAGTGGAACCACTCTTTTTTTAAGTTGAATAACGGTAAATTACAAATATCTTGAAAACGTATTCATAAAAAAAAAAATTAACTCTTCCGAATCACCGAGCAATTCTACATAGGAATTGGATAGCGGCATTCATAGAAAATTTTTGCTGTAAACCAGTGTTTTCAGAGCGCTGCCTCAACTAACACTTTACCACTGATCATACAAACAGGCGCAAAAGGTCGGGACCTGTCTTGGACATATTTCGATGGCTGAAACATCATTTTAGCCAGCCCAAGAAATTAAAACCCCAAAATATATGGGGCGTATTCTTGTTTCCGTACGAATCGAAAATTATAAAATTTTCCTATCATTTTCTGTACAAAAATTTAAAATATTGGGTTCGTACGAAAACCAGAACACGCCTCTATACTTTATTTTCGGATTTAGGGGCACGAATCGGGGACTAAATATCACTGTGCGGCATGTGAAAGAGCAAGAGATATACTTTAAAGAACTAGGTATTTTTTTTTTGTTAAGTAACAACAACGAATTTTTCGTATTTTTGGGTTAGAATATTAAAAAAAAAAAACTGATATGTGGTAATTCTGAGTTCAAATTGAATTTCAGTGACCAAAAATCTATTAGGAATGGAAAGCTTTATCTCAGATAAGATCAAAACTTGAAAATCGCTTGAGTAGTGTAATCTATATGTGTATGTATGTATGATGCAGAACTTTAAAGTGAGTATCGTCCGATCGAAACAGGTATAAATATCGTCTAAAACCTTACTCACAAAATTTATAAATATTTATTAATAAGGCTTATAAGGGATACTTAAGAATCAAATTTTGCTATTTTCTTAATTTTTGAATGCATGCATTTGAACCACCCTTTTTAGAATATAGTAAATATTAGTGCACATGGCTCTCAAAGTATTCCTTTAAGCAATACAGCTTATGCTGCTGTTTTCTGATGTAATTCGTATTTCACATGCTGATTTTGTAGCACGTGTGAGTAGATATATTTTATTGTTTGTTTCTTCGGCGCTAAATTCTCATTCTGACTAGACATGTCTCATTCTATATTTGTAAATTTTTAAACGCTACTACAAATGTATATGTGCATAAATATGTACATAGATATGTATGGATGCATATTTCCTGGGTCATGGTCGCTACCTTGTAGGAAAATTCGAAGTTACTGAAAAATGGTTCTTTGTCTTTGGTTTAGTGTTAGTTTCATAACGCCATTTGCACAAAATTTCCAGTTTAAGTCAGGATGTAGGAATGATGTCGCTTTTCGAGCTCGCTAAAGTAGAATTACATATAATGTAAACAACAAAACTTAAAGCCGCTGGACTGTTGAAAAACCTCGTCGATAGTGGCGTTAGAGTGCATCCTTAACAAGTTAGCTACTAACAGGGCAATCCTGGCAACTGTCTCAACTCACCACAATCTTTCGAAAGACAAAGAGTCTTCAATGCGGCTATGTCAATGCTAGCACCTATCTTGAAAGCTCTTTTCTGCCTTTCGCAACATTACTTGAAAGATCTTGCTAAGTAGGAGTTCTTAGAGTTATTCTAAGAATTAAGTTTTCTAACAATTATATGAAATTAAAAATTATGTAGTTTTCTTTTTAAAACAATAAAAACTAAAAATTAAAATAACTTTGAATTAAAAAGAAAAAAAAAATTGTAAAAAGGAAATTAAAACAGGTCCTAAAAATTAAGTGTCGAGATAAAATATTTTTATTTTTAAAACAATAAAATCTAAAAAAACCCAAAGAAATTTTAATTAATAAAGAAACAAAAAGGTAAGTTTCTAAAAATTATCTAATAAATTAAAACATTCTTTAAAAACAATAAAAACTAAGAATTAAATTTACAAAAAAAAAAACAAATTATAAGTAAAAAATTAAGTAAGTTTCCAAGACTCTAATTAAGTATTATATGTATGTACACTTATGGTCAGCTAATTAAGTCAAGTGACATTTTGACTAGTTTTGGCTATTTTTCTTTCGTTTGTTTAAGGTATTTCCAAACTGGCGTTACGTGAGGCTCGTATGACAAAATGTTAAAAAAAACGAATTGAACAAGTCAAAATTTTAAAAAGGTTTTTCTAAATTTTCATAGCAATTAAATGACCCCTTATTCAGTAAAAAAAATTACAACTGTTGGTAGTAGCGATTCAAAGATATTAGTCAACTTACGCGCTGGCGTGACGTTAAAAAAAAGAAACATTAGTGGATTTTGACTTTGTTTGAAAAAGGGCAAAACCCTGCGAATTGGGCAAGATCATTTGTACAAAAGTTTTTGTATTAATATTGGAAATGCTTAAGGATAATTTCCCAAGTTTTGAAATGTAAAAATCTTTTCTGCTTTATGTTTAATCAACTGAATTATCTGATGTGATGTTGCCTGGCGTTACGTTACTAAAATTTCCATTGAAAAAATTTTGTTAATATTGTTCTTGAAAGAATTTCTAACGAACGGGAAGGAAACATGCATTCTATGTCCAATGTACTTTTTATTTTGACATCAGCGCCACCAGCGGTTTCATTTTTTGCAAATCTACATATCGTCGCCTGGGTAAAAGATTGTCGTATGTTAATTTCGACAGGTTGTGGGAAATCGCGATTGAAGTTTGGAATGCAATTTCTCAAAAACGCGAGGATAGAATTTCTCCAAAGTCTCTGAAAATGTTACTAGTTCACAAAATTCTTAAAATATTTAATTTTTAATGTTTATTGTTAATTAGTTTTGAGTTTATGAAGGATTTTCTTTAGTAAAATTTTATCGTAAGCGTCATTTGTCCACAATTCGGCAGCCGCTTTGTATGAAATACGACAAAATGTGATCAAAATTTATACCAAATTAACGACATTTTTTACTCAATATCTCGAAAACTAAAGATGTCCAAAAATGGAGAACGCCATTTTTACGATATTGATTGGTTTCATATGGCTGCATCACTAACTAAATTTTTACTAAATTATCGAAAAAATTGTAGTCAATATCTCGGAAACTTAAGGAGATACGAACGACCTTGTTTCAAAATCTATAACTGCATCTACAACTAAAAATCGTCAAAATGGCGCTTGCGACAATCTTTTACCCAGGTGACGAATATGTCTTATTAAGTTTCAACTAAATATGCCAAATGTGAAACAAATCAGAGCATAAATACGTTTTTCAAAATATCTCGACCTTAGTGCCACCTAACCAGAGCATTTTTGGCAAAAATGATTCTGCATACATAACCAGTATATATTATAACAAGTAATTTTTAGCAAAAAAAAAACCAATTTCAATTGTCATATAATAAAATATATATGTATATATCTCACGATCCCCTGATCGGATCTTAACCAGATTAGTATGGGACCATCACTGAAACACTACCTTTCCGATGCAAATTCCGATGAATTATCGAAATCGGTTGACGTGGTCAAAAGTTCGGAGGCACAGTGCGATACCAGCGACGAGTGCCAGAGAGGGATCTAAAAAAGACTTTAGGGAAACGGTTCAATCCCCCTGTGATTCCTGTATTCACATGTTGAGCAAATGGCCAGAGCAGCTAGCAAGGGTAGGTCGGCTAGTTTCCGCGTTGACTCGGACCACTGCTCAATAAACGAAGAACATGAACTATGCTAAGTCTCTCAAAGCCGAGCACTAGGTTTCACACAGGAATACTAACGGGACACTGGACCATTGACCGCCTGGTTTGGAGGCCCGAATACCGGTTTCTGCAGAAGCTATAGAGATGAAGCAGAGATAGAATACTGCTCTCCGTTAATCACAACAATGTCGCTTTGACTTCTTGTTTATCTAACAGGAGATAGCTATGCAGCTTATCGGATCTTGTTTTGCTGGAATCTTTATAGTGCTGCTGTTTGGCATCCTGCACCCACAATCGCATTAAAGATCGATTTTATTATCAAGATGTTTATAGAGCTCGAAAGCGCTCATAAGAGATGAATGAATGTTCGCTCCTTTACATGACAGCTGTAGTAGACATCGCCCCGCGCATCGCATTTCTAGATAGCGGTAATTCCATTCATAGATTTCCCCGAGAACATCAATCAGCCGGGCAGATGCAACTTGCCAATTATGGAGTGGCACAAATTAAAGGGCTTCTTCTTTCGCTACCCATGGAGGGCCTTCCAGAAGGGCTCTTATAGGACATACTTCAGAAGGCCTTTTAGAGGAGTTCTTTTAAAGTTGCCCCCTAATTTATAAAAATCATACATCTTTGAAGTACTTGCTTAAGATTTATACCAAATATGTGTTATTGCAACTTAAAATGTTTATTGAAATTAATTTGTAATGCTAAATAATACAAATTTATACATTCGCGTGAATTGTAAATGGATAAGCCCTTCTTGCGTAGGCCTCTAAAATGGCTTTACTTAAGGCCTACCTAAATTATCTTCTGGGAAGCAACTCATGCTAATCGAACGCCGACTGGCTGCACTTACCGATCTTCGTGACAAAACTTTCAAGTTTCCTTATACTCTTATGTAAATTTAACACAAATTAATCACATTTTTCTTTTCGCTTTATTGCGTTCAATATTCAAAATTTAACTACAATTTAGTTTAGTCCACAATGTTTTTTTTTTCTTTAACGGATAATGAATATATGACGTATATTTAGTTGCATATTTAAAAATGAAGCATTGTGAAGGTGTCGATAATATACTACATACATAGAATACAAATACAACTAGGAAAACGTAGTAAATTTGCATTTGTCAGGTAAGTAAAGTATGTAAAGAATTGTTGGCAAATTGCCGCTTTTTTGTATAAACTAGAATCTTAATACTAAAATATTATCTAAATATATTTATAAAGGTATATCTACAAATGGTAGGTACAAGTCATATTTAGAAGTCAGCGTCTAGCGTGAAGACATGATCCATGCGATTCGAGGTAACTCCCCATTTCTGGTATTCTCCCACTTTCTTTTCGAAGAAATTCGTTTTGCCATCTAATGAGATAAGTTCCATAAAACTGAAGGGGTTTTGTGTATTGTAAATCTACAAAATATTAAAAAAAAAAAGTTAAACACAGGCGCGTGCAATTTATGAATATATGTATGTATGTATGTATGTATGTAGTACTTAATTAAGTCATCTCTTACCTTGCCCACTCCCAGCTCGACCAGCAAGCGATCTGCCACAAATTCAATATAATCAGACATTAGTTGGCAATTCATGCCAATCAAATTCACAGGTAAGGCATCAGTTAAGAATTCTTGTTCAATTTTAACAGCTTCAGCAATGATTTCAATAATACGGTCCCTACTTGGCTTCTGAATGAGGTGTTGGAACATCAGGCAAGCAAAATCGCAATGTAATCCTTCGTCCCTTGAAATTAGCTCATTAGAGAATGTCAAACCAGGCATTAGGCCCCGTTTCTTCAGCCAAAAGATTGAAGCAAAACTGCCACTAAAGAAAATGCCTTCAACCGCGGCAAATGCTATTATACGTTCGCCAAAGTTGGCCGATTTCGATGAAATCCACGCCAGTGCCCAATCAGCCTTGCGCTTAACAGCAGGCATCGTCTCAATAGCATTGAACAAGTAATCCCTTTGCTTGCCATCCTTAATATATGTATCAATTAATATGCTGTACATTTCAGAATGCACATTCTCCATGGCGATTTGAAATCCATAGAAGCAACGCGCCTCTGTGATTTGAACTTCTTGGCTGAAGCGTTCAACTAAGTTTTCATTCACAATACCATCGGAGGCGGCAAAGAATGCCAAAACGTGCGAAATGAAATGGCGTTCATTGTCGGTGAGACGCGCCCAATCATCCATATCTTTGGAAAGGTCAACCTCTTCCACCGTCCAGAAGGATGCTTCTGCCTGCAAGATAACGGTGAATTTGTAGTTTTATTAAAGTTGATTCTTGCTTTTAAACGATCTTAGAAAGGCATAAACTATCAATGGATTTATGTACATTAGACTGCATCACCAAAAAAAGTTGCGGTTTTTCCGCCGGGATTACAAAATTTATTATATTCTAAGACGTCAACCAAAATATTTCGTAAAAATATCAAGATTTAAGTGAGCTGGACCGATTTAAAATGAAGTTGTTTATGAATAAAAATAGTTTCTTAAAGAACTTTTTGAAAAAAGTCCCCTCAGATGACAAATTAGATTAATCTTAAAAAATCTGCATAAAAATATTTAAAAATCTCTTCAACGGAATCGTAAGAATGAGATTTTTGGTGCTGTTTGTTTACGTTTTCAAAGATTGATTTACGAAAAACTTGAATAACTGGGCCAAAAATGTTCTGATTTAGACTTATGGGATCTCAGTAGAAACGTATTTTCACACTGTTTTTATTTCTGGCCAAAAAACGTCATTCGTATCTTATCGTTTTTCCTAATTCAACTTTAAATGACGTTCGTTCCTCCTTCCTTTCCCTTCCATCCTTTGAATGAGTTTATTAGCAAAGAAATAAAAAGGGTGAGAAAATACCTTTCCAATGACACCTCTCAAGACTAAATCGGAAGAGCTAAGGTTCAGTTATTCAAGTTTTTCTTATATCAATCTTTGAAAAAAGTTAAAAAACAGCAACAAAAATCTCATCATTACGATCCGTTCAATTTTTGTTTTTTTTTTTCAAATATTTTTATGCAAATATTTTAAGCTTAAACCGTTTTGTCATTTGAGGGGATTTAAAAAAAAAATCTTTAAGAAACTTTTTTATTCATAAAAAAACTCCATTTTTGGATCCAGCTCATTTAAATCTTAATATTTTTCCGAAATATTTTGGTGGACGCCTTAAAATATAATAGATTTTATAATTCCGGTGGAAAAATAGTACCGATTTTTTTTGTATGGGGAGTGATGCAGTCTAATGTACATATCTGTGTTCGTATGGAAAAGTAGCTTATGTCGAAAGGCTGGCTTTAGTATAAATCGGCATACGCAACATACAATTGCAAATGACTCACTGGCACTGACCCGTTGAACAACTTTTGGCAAATAAACGTGCAATAAATAGTTCCGATACTAGCAAGTCAAGTCTCATCCAAAAATTCCTTGTCGTTTAAAGAATAAAGGGAATGCCGCATTATACTAGTCAGCCTTTCGACATAAGCTACTTTTCCTTACGAACACAGATATATACTACAAAAAGAATTTAGGCGATTTGTAATTTGACTAAAATATTTACAAGTTGAAAAAAAGCAACAACAAAACGCTATTTTTAAAAGATAGGCAGGGGAAAGATGATTATGGAACGAAATTAGTTAATACACCCAAAAAATATTCTATGGAAGCATACATATGTATGTACATACACGGAATTTATTATCTACAAAACGATCTGTAAACGTGACTATGTATTTGAAATGCGAAACTTGTTCCACATAAAATTGTAGTCATGCCCTGTTGACTTTGCCAACTGATCATGTTCGGGCATGTTATAAGCAGAATACAGGTAAACAAATGTGCTAATTACAAAGGGTGAAAAAGAGAAAAACAGAAATTTGTACAAACGTATGTAAGTATATACATATGAACATATCGCTAGCTTAGTCCCCTTTTTATGAAAACTCATAATTTGATACAGGAGGCTAGAGAAATTGAAAATAAATTGTTTCGAAAAGGATAAAGGTACTTGCTTTGTTTATTCTCGTCTATATTAAATGAAAGCAACATTTGGCAAGTCCAAAAGAAGCACAGAAAATGCGGTAAGGCCAAAAAAGTTCGAAATCTTTTAATAAATATCGAATCCCTCCGATTCGTATGGAGTTTTGCTTTACTTTAAACAGGCAAAATGTTGCATTAAAAGTTGTGCGAAATACTTGAAGAAAATGGCTATAAGAAGTTTTTTCCTCCTGTAAAATTTTTAAAATGGGACTTAGACACTTTTCACTCAAAGCGAGCGATATGTACATATCGTTACCTTAATGCATACATGTGTATGTACATGTAATTATGTATAGAACGGCCCTATCTAACATTTTTGTTATTAAGCGATTTCTACGCTCTATTTTATTGAAGACTAGGTATAACTAATTTTTAAGTTGTTGTACGGTTTTAGTGAGTAATCTACAGACTTTCGTATTAAGGATATGTATATCGACGGCTGAGTGGAATAGCAACCTATCTCGGCAGCCAGATCGAAAACGCCCTATCTCAAACAACTTTTCAAGAACGTCCTATTTTAGAGCATATAAAAGTATGTATGATTTGTTAGTATTGTAGTAGCGTTGTATAGGCTAGCTTAAGTAATAGATTAATAAATCATGTAAATCATTGTAATAGTGTAATAGTCCCTTTAGCATATTTTTAGTACACGAATAGTGTAACTAGACCTTAAGATATAGTTATAAGACACCATCTTGTGAAAAGAAAAGAATAAAAGAGGACATTCCAATTTGAGCAGCGAAAGGAGAAGGTGTTTTATTTAAAACCCGGCTACCACTTTATTAACTTAAACCTGTACATTTCAGTATGAATACTTGAAGGTTTCGAATGTTCAACATTAGCGCACAACCCAAAATTTGGCCTTTTTTTTAATTAAGCGCTAACATTTTACAGAGCTTTTATTTACCTTTCAGCAAAAGCTGGAGCAAATTTTTGTATAATTTATTAAACAAAAAGTCTCCCTTGCCCATATGATTATCATGAGCTAAGAAATAGTTTTTCGCATTTGCTGACAAACGTGTAATTTTGAGTTGTGCCCCTTTTGAAGACGGTGCGCGACACGTCGGTTATATAATTTCCATTTGCATACTTTTGTTGAGGAAAAATTTCATAAATGTTTTATAAATTTATTACAAATCCTTGGCAATAAGGAATAACAACTGAAATCTGCTAAACTAAAGGGCATCCTCTGATAGGATACATGACCGGAAACAAATTCAGCAGTACGAAGGGAAGGATAAATTTCTTGGCTATAAATGTACTTACTTAAAAATATTTTCACGGATATTGTTATCAATGCAAAAATACCTATTCATCAAAATATGTATGTACATATGTATGCAACTATTCATACACATTTATACGTATGTACATATGTATGCATGACTCGAAACGCACTTCTCCGAAATTTGTGAAAAGGCGCAACAGATAACGACCCAAAAGAGCGCGCGCGGGAAAACTTTGCCGCCAACAGCTGAAAGAAAACAAGTAGCTACGCGCCAATTTGTAATATTTCTATCCCCCGCTTGCACTTACTCATCGCAGAAAAGGTCATCACATGGCGCACTAAACAGCGCATAAACATATACCTAAATAAAAGCAATCAAATATGCTCATATGTATGCAAATATGTACATATTCACAAATGTGTGCATAGTACATATAAAGGTGCTTCAGCTGGTTTGATATTTAACAAAGTAAAATGAGGGATTGAATGAATGTGGATACAGTCGCCGAAGATTTTCAATGACGTAGTATCTTTCAATAGAAACCAACCTGTCGCAACATGTTAATATACGTCGTCGTACAGTCAGCAGTATTAATACTTTTTTTTTGCAATACCAGCAACGGCAGTGCAATTAGCCGGTTAGCGAATCTGACTACGTCTGCATTGGGGATAACCTCTTTCACTACAGTGCATGTATATTGTTTTTATACAGGAAAGTTCGCAGAAACAGCTGTCGCACCTCATACTAATCGATTTTCTTGTGATTTTTCATTCCACGTTGGGTTTTATACTAAATTTATGGTTGGATACATTAGTAAGCGAAAAAGCCTACCTTCTTGTACATCTGCCAGATATCTGGATATTCGATTGGCATAATAACGAAACGACGTGGGTTCTCCTTCAGCAAAGGTTCAATTGTTGGATCAAATGGGGTTGCAGGCTTGCTGGCTAGCGTTGTCAATTGCTCCGATGCAGTATCTTGCATTTTCGCCAAGTCCTCGTTGGGAATCGACATTTTGCGCATGTTATTCACGTCTGTCAAAATTTTTCTCGGACTCTGCAAAATATTAGCATATCTTATTACACCGAACCGCATTATATATGTGGCATGAGCAAAAAACGCGGATATTACAAAACCGAATTTCACTCACCTTCAGCGAAAATTTCTCCAAGTTCTCAGCAATGTTTTCTTTGCCAGCAAATGCCATTTTAGTCTTTGTTCTTAATATGTATTAAATACGGTCAACGGAAATATAATTGTATAGCACAAATTAAATCGTTCGCAACTTTGCAAAACGTTCTTTCAGGAACAGCACAACACGACTCACGACTCGTTCAGCGTCAGAAAACTTATTGAAGAATTAAACGTTCCGACCACCTCCTCTTATAGGCAATTTCTTTCCTGGTGCATTCGTTCGCAATATTGGCGGGAAATATTTTTGTTGCCCACTACCAGGGTAGCCAACTCATTTTTGAGAATTCCCCGATTTTGCCGGAAATTTCGTCAAATTCCCCACCCATGGATATCTCCTTCTTTACAAAATAAAAAAAAAAAATAGTGACGTATTGCTGGTCTGTATTGTTTTTGTTAATGTAATTCAAACTTTTATGAAGTTAGTCAACAAATAAAGAAACAAATGTACATTTATGTATGTAATGTTTACACACAAACAGTGGTCGAAAAAGTTTCAGTCGCGCCAAATTTTGACAAGTTACATTTATGTTTTTTTTTTGTTATTAATTTGAATTATTTTTTTTAATATAGTTAATTTTTATACAATAACCGTACAAGTTTCAAACTTTATGTGATATTAATAAAAAGGCTACAAACTTCCGTAAAAATGTGAGCTTTTTTATTAGATTTTCTAGAAAGATTTAGAATATGCCGCCTTGTAGCCCACTCAATTCTAATAAATGCAAGTTTCAAGGGGTTAAAAACTTTTGTTTTAATTTTTTTCCGAAAGTGTTGCGGTTTTCTTCCAAATAAAAAAAGTGTGTTTATTCGTTATATGAATGCAAATGCGACAAATAAAATTCCAAATCAACGGTAATTTGTATAATTTACAGGATTTCTTATGCGACTTTTTGACCTCATTATAAAGTCAGTGAAGCAAAAAAGAATAAATTAGTTAACACCTAATTCCTCATAAAAAGCAGTTCATCTCCCGATTCTGCACGTAAACTGAAATTCTTTACAACAAACGGTCTATTCCCCGATTCCCCCCGATTCCCCACGCAAACTCTAATTCCCCGCAAATCGGGGAATTCCCAATGAGCTGGCTTCCCTGCCCGCTACTCTTGTTTACGAATGTGTGAGGGAGATAGTAGCTGAAAGATGCGAAATTGCGAACAAAGCGAAGTGTCATTCGCTGAATTCATTGGAATGCACTACGAGAAGTACAGGGTGATAAATACGTAACCAACACTGCACTACCAGCCGCTCTTGCGCTGCTGTACCGACTTTCGCGTTTCTTCCATATTGCTGTTGTTATTGTTGTTGTTGTTATTATTGTTGTTGTTGTTGTAGCAACAATTAACTTCCCCAAAGAGTTTTTGGGGAGTGTTGCTGCAGTGACAGACCTTGGCCAAATATAAATCTGGGTCCTTCCGCTTACGTAGACCCGACTGTCGTGGGAACGTTCATTTTGCTGTCATCCTAATCGGTTAAGACCAAAATTCACTCCGGAATCGGTTAGGGATTAAGGGAGGGTTGCATGAACGAAAGACACAAGATCACGTAAGAACAAGAGAGTGAAAAAAGTCGATTTTTTGTTTCACTGGAAAACGAGCGAAAAGTAAACAAAGCAAAGAAAACAACGAAAACCAAAATTAGCCGAAATTATTGTCAGTCACTTTAAACGCACAATTTAGGTAAAATGATGCAACAAAATGCTTTAAAATGTGTTGTCATGTTGAATTAACTCTTCTTTACTTGAATAAAAGTGTAAAATAGTGGTGCTTGTGATGTAAACAAACGCTCAGCTGACGAACCCGCTTTCGCAAACTTTTTTCTCAAAACCAGTTACAAATACAACGTCGCGTTCTTACGTGATCTTGTATTTTTGGTTCCTGGGAGGGTTGTTCAATGTCTGATTAAGGGCCGGTTGTTCAATGTCTGGTTCGTAAGTAACATTGACAAAAGTCGATAACGATGTTTAACCGATGATTTTTTACTTTTTTACTTTGTAAACCGAAAGAAGGCTGAAATTCTTTGCTTGAACGAGTCATGTTTGCATGGTATATGGCGAAATGTTAATCGATTTGGGACCAAATGCACTTCCAGAATCGAGTTGGGACCAAATCATCGAAGCAAAACGTCGATATATTAGATGAGTCGATCGATGTTTTTCCGACATTCCAAATGTAAACAAAAAACGAAACATTTCCGAAATTCCTCCCTCCAAGAAAATGTAATATTTCTTTTCAAAACTAAATATACATCGGAAGCGTTAGAAAATTGCCAGGTATGTCCGATACCAACAGCTCTACGCACCACATTCGCCAGAAATATTGTCTGAATCGTTTGGAATACCGTAAAGGACGTCGATTAAGAGCTGTTAAGGTACTTGCATTTTTGAGAAATACACGTTTAGCAGGATGTAGTACATAATTATTTGTAAATTTTTAAGGTATATACCGTGGCAAATGAATCAAACCATCTTCTAGTATTTGGAGTTCCAAAAATTAACTTGAAGCAAGAAATAAAGTGTAAACTGCAACGGTGTGGGGAGCTTGAATTCATCCAATGTGTAACAGAGGAGGTGGCCAAAAAAGGTTTATAAAACGACTATATTTTTTTCTGTACTCATTTTAATATTAAAATTTCAGTGGAACTGGAGGCTTTCACTGATGTTTTTCATGTAAAATTTGCAAAGGTGCAGTTAGCGCGGCTTGCTAAAATTTACTTGGATGCGCAAGAGTTTTATGGCGGCATACTTCATATTTCCTATGCTCCGGAGTATGAAACCATAGATGAACTTCGACAGAAAATCTTGCTAAGGAAAGTTGAAGTTAAGCATAGACAGCGAGTAAACGAAAAAGTGGAATTAACAATAGCATCAATATCGCAATCTAATCAGGAGAAGAGAAGAAAAGAGATCTAAAAGACTTAAAAATAAAGAACTAAGGTATTTAAAGCTTGTATTTAATTGCTTTGTATCAGAAAAAGCATTGTTCTTTCAAAATACATAACAATGCGTAAATTGTTTCACTACTTAAAACAAATCAATTTACACAACTACATATTTCAAATAATGTCAATAGCATAATTACAATTTTGGATCGAACTTAAATACTTCAGCTAAGCAATAAACTACTATCGGTTATTTGGTTTTTCTTAAGTCATGATATAAAGTAAGAAACGGTATTCGCTTTTGCCACAACTCTGTGCCGAAGTAAACCCAAAATCTGTAAAGCGTAAAATTATTAATAGAATTTTCTTAGCATATGTTCACAATGCATGCTACTCACAGTCCAAAGAGGGCGCCACCTAAATGGGCTGCATGATCAAAGAATTTCCAGCCTAGGATGCAACCGGCCAAATCGAATCCCATAATCACTTTGATCGCCTTTTATAGAAAACAAGAGTTATGTGTGCAATTCTTTACAAAAAGTAAATATGAAATTCAATACTTACGGCTCCTGCAGAGAAATGGAGCATGGGTAGGAAAAGAATGCTTAATTGAGTATCTGGATACTTTGCACATACATACGACAGTATCGCCATAATGGCACCAGACTGAAATTGGAGTAATTAATAACAAATGTAGATTTTAAAGTCTAATGATGACATGATTTCTATTTGATCACGAAAACCTTACCGCGCCTATAGATAGACCAGCCTGTGCGGTGATCGTCTTATAGAGAATACTAGCAAAACTCGCAATCACACCCGCGCTGAGGTAGACTCCTAAGAATTGTTCTTTTCCCAAGGTCAAGACAGCCGCATTGGAAAAGCTGTGTAACACGTACATATTGGCGAAAAGATGAAATAAAGAATAATGACTAAAAGTCGATAGGAACATAGGCCAACAAACAGCACCTGAAAACGTACATATATAGTTAGACTATAAGTAATTTGTTGGTGACCGGAACTTACGCCCCGCAGGACTCGAACAAAAATAAGTCATCATTGTGTTGCGTAAGGCTGGTACACGCCACATTTTAAACACCAAAATGTTTAACGCGCAAAGTGGCACAAATACTCGTTCACCAGGCGTTAACTTATCCCAGAATTGTTGTACTTCTTGTTTTATATCTTGCCAAGTACTTTGTTCCTGGTTAACAGTCTGCCGTCGAAGCCACGGGAATTTGCTTTGACGAGCTTTCTCTAACATCATATTGCGCGCGTTTTCATACTCCAATATGGTGACACTCATGAAACAGCCAACACTGAACTACAAATGTTGAGAAGTTATTAACTTCGAAATTCAGAAATCTTTACTTGTTTTGAAATACCGCGCCTGTAAAAATTAACGCTTTCACCACATTACTTGGCGGTATAGCTCCACCGAAGGTATAATTCTCAAAAGGTGGAGATGTTTGTAGACTTCCACTCCGAGCTGGACGCTGATGTTTTGCACTGCTGCGCATGGAACGTAGTAATATCGCACGCGGTCTAGCATATTTACAACTATGGCTGGGCAGCAATGGGTCACTGAAATTCAACTCCATTAGAATATCTAGTTACCTACATATAAACATACATATGTATTTAAATGCAATAAATACACTCACACTAATTGCCTAGTCCAATTACGACAGAATGCTCTATGCAAGAGCATTATCGTTTATTTTGCGATTTGTACAAATAAATAAATTTCCTAAATAAAACGCCACGATCTCGTCACGCCTCCATTCACCTTCAATCAGCTGTTTACTTCAATTTGTTTTGATTCGTCGTTTGATTGTTAACAGCTGATAAACGATTTTAGCTTTTAGCCGATAAATTTTATTACACCCATTAGGACACAACTTTCTTATATCTAGCAGTAATGAGAAAAATAAATTGTATAAAACCAAAGAACGTAAATCTATAAGAGGAGACAACACGTTATAATTGTAGCGAGTGTGAACATCAGGAGCGTGCCTTCTCTTTTCTTCCAATCACAAAACGTATTTGGGTAAAAGAGATAAAACATAAAAAAACCTTCACTTTTGTGGTTTAATAGTAGATAGTAACAATTTGTAAAAATTTTAACTTCACTATCTTTTCCATTCGTCTTGAAAATTGTATGCACTCTTGAGCCAAATAAGAAAAATGTATTTAGTGCGAAAAGCTTAAAAGTTCTTATAAACAATGTCATGTGTTATTAATCGAAGTGAAAACAATTCGCATATAATGGAATGTGGAATTCATTCATAAATATGTCGAAGATCTAACCGGGTACTCGTCATTGAGCTATCAGGCTATCAGCTTTTGCGAAAATCGATTGAAACGAATCTTTCCTAACTTTAGAGTAAATTTGAAAGGACGCCGCGCAAGAAGTGTTTACGAAAAATTCGCGAAGGAGTTGTGCGAAGTTATTTGATTAAAACACGTGTCTGCAAGGAAAATGGTTTTGGCAAAAGTGCCAATTACTCCGCAATGGAATTTAACCAACGGTAAATATCAGAGTCACGAAGAATTTGCTATGCGATCTAAATTTTTGTTTCTTTTTTTTTTATAAAAGGTTGTGTGTGCACGCCAGAAGGTGGATTTCTTTATGTCGGTTCACGCAGCATCAATTATGTGGGTCCTTTGGAACAAGTCGATGGTGAGGTGGGAGAAAAGAAGCCTCCTGTGATCAAAGTGTTTCAAACTCGTCAGAGCATTCTGAGCATAGATGTGGATCCGGGGTGGCCAACAAATGTTACAGCAGTTGAAGAAGTTTCTGGAAATGCAAGTCAAGTGACGAAAACCCCTACAGCAGTGGGCCATCAAAAATATTTTGCTGCTTTGGCACAAGATAATTCTGTACAGATTTGGGATTTTGATCGTGGCTGTGCAGTAAGTGGCCATAAGGCACACTTCAGCACCTCTTTATATATGGATGGTAATGGGCCATCACCTCAAGGCGATCATGTACTCTTAAGCTATATGCGAAATCGCAATGTACTCTCATTGAATGCACAGGAACTGGTGGTATATTGCGTAGCATCCAATACATATTGTCGACAGAAGAATTTCATTCCGACACGAAATCAAATGATGACTGTGTTGCGTTGCTCGCCCTATAACGAGCATATTTTTGCTGTAGGCACGAATCGTGGAGTAGTTTTAATTGGCGATTTACTTCGCATGACTACATTGTACACACTACGGGGTCATGAGACTTCCATAACTTCGCTGTCATGGTGCCCATCTACAGTGGAACCTTTAAAACGGGAAACCGTTATTGAAATAGATGATAATGAAGCGGATAAAAATAAGACTATAACCAACGATAAAACAAAGTTAAAAAGCGATCCGAAAAACAGTTTTAAATCACAAAAGGGATCGAGGAAATCAACGAAACCAGCTGGAAATGATGATATTTTCGACATTTATGACTACGACTATTTGGAAAATGAATTCGGCGCACCTACAGAAAAAGATAAGAAAGCAAAGGAATCACCTGATGGTTTGGCAGTCATCGACAAAACTATGGAACTGGGACCAAAAACGAATTTTGATTTTGCTGAGGCATGTCAAAGTCTCAAAGAAGAGATAAAAGCCTTGAAGAACGAGGAAAATTATGATCAGAATGAATCCAAACAAATGCCTGATGTTACGCTTGCTGATTGTCAAAATTTGCCACAAGCTGGCGATTTATCTTCGAGTTGTGGCGGAGATAGTCGTGAGTCAACTGAAGGTAGCCTTGAAATAGGTGGTAGGTGTTCTTCAGATGACGATGTTTGCGTGGATGGTGGAGAGTTAAAGCCAAAGCAACAGATACTACATCAGGCAGAGGTCCATGCCGAGCAAACAAATGAACTAGAGAAGAAAGACAACGATAATAACACTGAAGGGCCAGATGAAAATGCTGTAAAGGAGGAAAAGGAGGAAGTAAATTGTGAGAAATCGGAGAAAGTAGAGAAGGAAGAAAGGCATGACGCGGTATCGGAAAGTAATTCCGAACAGCCATCCGTTGATGGATGTGTATCGCAGGATAATTCTTTTACTTCTCCAACTAAATCAAGGAGCGCAGAACTTTTGGTTTCCGCGAGCGTTGACGGACATTTTTGGATATGGAATGCAAAGACTGGGTCATGCTGCGACAGTGTACGTCCAGCAAACATTGCCAAATATGGTAAAAGTATGTATTAAAAACGTTTTATTGTTGTATTAGATTAATTATTAAATAAATATATTCCCCTATAGATAACAGCATCCACGTAGATTGGCTGAGTTCAACACAATTTCTAACCACAAATAGAATTGGCGAAGTGTCATTTTGGTCACTGATAAAAGATACTTCGATCGACTCTTCAAAGCGACAACAGCAACGTTACAAGTTTCAAGAAGAGACGCAACAGCACTTTCAGCAGCGTAGCGTTATGTCGTTTAGCGTTTCTCATCGTTGTAGACTACTATGGAACTTGTCTTCGCATCGTGAAATCAGCTGTGAAAACTTGGAAACAGGAAAATTGCTACTCAAATACTGCTGTGCTTCCACTAATGTTTGTGCGATTCGTGAATGTCCAGATGATATGAATAAGTAATTTCCCAAATTTTATTTAATGTAATATGAGTGAGTATGTACAACTATTTATATTTGTAGAATTGCTCTGGCCTTCTCCGATCGTCGTGTAGGTATTATTGATATTTCAAAGATGTCGGCCACTAATGTGTTTATCGAAAATTATATATCACGTGTGGATGCATCCGTGCTTTCGCTTGTTTGGAGTCCGGATAGTAAGAAGTTGGCCTTCGGAACATTGGAGGGAAGAGTAAGTGAATTTTGAATTTTGTTTTATAAACTTTGTAATTGTAGTCTATAATTTAATAATAATTCTGTATTTCTCAAAACAGGTTGGTATAATTCATGTAGAAACTTCCAAGCCCACTATCACCTTTAAACCGTTTTGTGGTAAACCAATTTATTCAATTGATTGGTACGGCAATGATATATTTGTAGTTTGCAACGATATTCTAGCCGTTTACGACGAAAACTTCGAAAATAAAGGTAAGTGCATTAAAAATATTGACAGATTTTTAAATTGAAAACTATCCACAATAAAGCTACTCTACGATGCTCTATGTCCGAACGGTAGGCACTCGTTTTGCGCATTCATTGTGCCAAACGAGAGTGCAGTCTGTTGTGAACGTGTCTGCAGCTTGCGTATATAGGCCAAATGTATAGTTTCACGATGAAAGTCCCATTTATTCCAGGTAACATTAATATGATTTGCGGGTGTTAGATCGTTGACAACTACCATTTCGGTTTGTGTGCCACTTTCTGCTAACTTGCCCTTACGCTTTTTACTTTCGGCAGCAAAGTCAGTTTCCAAAAGTTCATCAACCAAGCCAAAAAGCAAAATGAGATCAACAGAAGTGTAGATGGCCGTTTTTACTATTTTTATGAAATCTTCGAAATAACGCTCGGCATACTTTGCGAATGCAATATTAGCAAAACCGAAGCGAAATTTCGAGTCTTCACAAAGCTTCTTTTGTAGAGCTGCGGGCAGTAGTAAACCGTTTGTTAGTGCGATTGTTAGCGCGCAATAATTTTGAAAATTATCTGTCTGTAAGTTAAATTGTGATAATTTAAAAAATGATATGTAACGAATGCGCGCGATACATACCACGTTTTGCAGCGACGTCATTGCAGGATTTGCCTTGTTGGTGCGTTCCATTAACTCATCGAAAGTGGGTACAATTGCTTTTTTGATGATTTGTCGCCGCACTTCGGTTAATTCCAAAAGATGTAAAAAGTTTGCCTTAACTTCCTCAGTTAAGCACTCGTCAAGTAAGTCTTTAAGCTTATTCAGTTCAGCCAAATGGCTAAGTGATAATTGCAAGGAGGTCCAAAGTTCTGTAAGGTATTTGAAATGTGGCTGCAAAAGAGTTTTGGTTTATTACGTTTGCCGATTAACTATCTTACATTTCTTTGTACTTACAAAGACCAACTCAGATTCGATTGCCGTGCGATATTTTAGAACATCATTTATCTTCTCCACTATGCAGTCCATTTTCTTTTGATCAAGACTTACAAGAAACTCTGTTTTGTCGAAAGAGACGACTATTTTCTTCAGCAGTTTTTCATAGGTACTGAACAAGGCGACATATTTATTAATTTCCCGCACTTTTTCTATGGGCCACTTGCAATGCACTTTCTTCGCTTTTGTGTCCACTTTGATAAGCTCACCGATAGCTTCCATGCCAGTTTCTATATATTGAGCAATGTCTTCTAGAGCTGCTTCAAGGGATTCTCTGGTGTTTGTTTTTGCCATTTGAATATCCTTTAGGACTGCATAAAGTAAAAAGAAGTGGCAAAAGTTCACAAAAAAATTCTAAAAAATCAACGGTAACTTTTAGTCACTTGAAACTTGCACATTATCAGACTAAAATTGATTGGGCTGTGTATTCAGAAAAATTCAAACACTTCCGAGAAAAAAGTTTGAAATTTAGGTGGTTGCTTTTTTTGAAGTTTTCTACAAATTGTTAAACTTGGTTTATATGGGGTTTGTTAGAGAAATAACTGTGTTTTAATTGAAAATTCTCAAAAATAAATAAATAAACATAAGTTGCACACAATATAACTTTGAAATGGCGTGCTATAGATATGACCGATACTGTATGTATCTCGGTAACCGTTGTACCAATTTGTGACCAAACTCGGTATGGTTATTGTGCTTGCCACGTAAAAGCAAAACGTTGAAAATTATTGAAATCAGACTCACGAAATCACGGCCGCTTTTCACATAACGGTAAATTTCAGAAATGCTTGAAACTACATATTTCGAAATTTAAGGACGCTAATTTATTCAAAATCTATACACCCCGGCTTACCATGTAGCGGTACTTGCGTCGGGTATTTAATGTTCGGCTCCGCCCGAACTTAGACTTTCTTACTTGTTTTTTTTTTTTTTATAAAAATATAGCAGAGTTTTTAAATTAATTAACGTTTTTAGTTAGATACATTACTTGCTTAATTTGTGAATCTTTTTAAATTTAAAACAAAATATGGCATATTCATAGTCGAATCAAAGACGAAACTAAAAAGTATTGTCAGAGAGCTGAAATTATTTCAACTTTGTTTTGACCATGCACATATCCCATTATGTTTTACATTGAAACGTAAATTTTTGTATCCATTTTCTATCTTTTACTATCTCTTTCCCAATGATTACACCACAAATACACACATTGTTACTGTTATTACATTTTATCGCTTTTAACTTAGTTCTAAAAATTGTGAGTACCTTGATAAAGCTATTCTCAAACGAAAGGACTTGTTCTTCCTGATTACAATATTGTAACCTAAATCTATTTTTAATAAAATTAGCTGGGGTAAGACTCTATAAAAAACTTGTCGTAAATGGGTTAAATTATTCATAATTTGCAAAATAATAAAATCAAATTAACATAAGACATTACAAAAAACTGGGTCACTATAGGGTTAATGCATGATCAATAATGAATTAAGACGTCAAAAATATACTCTTAAAAAGTAGTTCAAGCGAGTCTAATGAAAATAAAATGATTTCAGAATTTTGAGCACCCGCTTATGTGGGGTGGCCCCAGTATGCGTTGAGAGAAGAGTGAAGAGTCAAATATAAAAATCTAAAAAGTACAAAGTTAATTTACTCACTATCTCGCATATTTTCCCGCTCCCCATTCGGATCACAGTTATTATAAATGAGTATACCGCAAACAGTAGCAGTTAAACGCTGTAGATATTCCAAACGATGGTAACGTTTCTTCAATACGAAATTTTGCAAATCCCCGCGGCTAAGTACGCTTTTAAGACTCTGCCGCGTCTGTTTCAAGAGCTAGACAACATATGTAAGTAGTATGTACATACATGGGGCAGTGAGAAATGGGGAAAAAAATGTCCAATAACTTACCACGTGATTTTTCGGATCACCAATATTGTAACAAGCAATAATGAAGACTTGTATTTTGTATAACATTTCATCAAGTTGCTTGTCACTGCTCGTTTCCGGATATTGTAGTATACCTTTAATGAGGCTATGCAGTTTTTTCTGGAAGTTTTCCTGATAAATTTCTTTCATATTCTCAATTTTCAATTCGCGAAAATTTCGAAAGTGAAACTTCATTTTTAGATTACACATTGTTGGATCATTTTGATTTTTATATAATCGAAATATATTTTCTCGAATTTGCAGAATTTTGCAAGGTTTCGGATCCGGCCTGTCGAAACCGAGTCGCGCATCTCTTGCCAACAAATGCACGTAAAAATATGCAAAATTTGGATTCACCTCCAAATCGTGATCTTTGCAATCGTCCAGAAATAGTATTAAAATACGATTTAAGTAATCTTTTGTTGACATTTCGTGTTTATCAAGAAATTAACGCGTAAAAATGTTGCTTTAGAATAACTTTCCCCTGTAATGGCGAAAAAACGAGTTGCGCCACGTTGGTTTGTTTGTTTGTTACTCTGACAACAGGCTAAATATTTGTATGTATTATAATGCAAAATAAAAATTAATCTCACATAAATTTGAAACTTGAATTGAAATGTGAGCAACGATAAAAGATTTGTCGGAATATTTCTGCATTTCTTTAGAAAAAATTAATTACTAACAGAGTTCGGTAAATAATGGAAAATAGGAATGTACGGTAGGGGTCTTCAAAACAACTTCGCAGGTTAACAAAATTGTTGGACGGCGAAGGTCGTTTTGCTTATGTAATCTTCATAGTTTGGGTATGACTAATGTGACCAACTATTTCATAGCTCCAATAAGTACAGGTTAGGTTGGGTTTGGTTAAAGTGGTTGCCCCAGGCAAGGGACACACTTGGACATTAAGGATTTGTCCTTTGTGATACCACAAAAAAACTGAACGGATACCCTTAATGTAGTCGGCGAAACGCTGCGAGCCCATTACCAAATTTCGAATGCGGCTAATTTCGATCCCTGAGAGCTCAGTGTTAGTAAGAAGTGTGAGCCAAATTCCTTTCATCTTAGTCTCGCGAAGTTTTGACAGTCTAAAATAAAGTGTGGCTATGATTCCACCTTATCTTCCTCTTGACATCTAATACAAGCCACTAGGCCCAACCCTTTAAGAGTGTACCGCAGGAGGACAGAGGCGTCCCTAGTTGCTCCTTATCTGGCGTAAACGTTTTAAGGGTGCCTTTCCAATGTCAGGTCATCAGACACGCCGTTTCCCGCGATATCACAGTGATCCGGCACCTAAACTTTCCTTTTTAGGAAGTACTCCGACGCGATTTATAGAAAGGTCAGACTTTCCCCTACCTATTTCGAGCGCACCGTCACACCCTTTAGCAGTGAGTTAACGCTTCCTTGATGACAGCTTTTTCCATCTGGAAGACACTGCAGAAGTCCAGAAGCCTGAACATAGTTTTGGTAGAGAGTTTCCAACAGAAGAAACCTCCACAACCCTCTCTCAAAGTTTTGATCCATCCGTGAACTTCACCGCTCCCTTCTTCGAGTAACCCCGAGGCAGAGGAGCTTCTGGGAGCCCTCCAGAACTCCAGAGTGCTACCACCGGGTTTCCCTGAGCCTAATAGAAGTTCGTGATGCAACAATTCTGTCTGAAATATTAGGATTAAATCTGGTTTCATAGAGCTAATGAATTACTTTGGGCGAGAGACCTTACCTTGTACCGATAGCTCCCATACAGCAGTACAAGGCAACCGAGGCCTAACTTACAATTATCTAAATACTAGGCTTCCATAACAGCTTCCCATCCAGGATAAAGCCTAAGAACTCGACCCCGTCTGAAAGCCGCGACGAACACCTCCACCCGAGGGAGGGGCTACAATGGGTATCCTGTACTTCTTGGTAAACAAGACCAGTTTCGACTTTCTAGAATTTACTGCGAGGACGCTGTTGCCGCTCAGGTAACTTTGAGCCAGATCAAAAAGGAGTCTAGAAATCGTCCCTTAATCAAAAGTTCCACATCATCTAAATGGGCGATCACCCGATGGCCCATTTTTCCAGTTTCCCTAGAAGGTCGTTTACAACCGCAATCCAGAGCAGGAGAGAGAACACCATCTTGCGGGGTGCCCCATTCCCCGGCGACTTGAAGGGGTTGAACGAATTTATCGCCCAGGCTATGTGACGATCGTCCAGAAGATCGGGCAAGTACAGGACCTGAAGTACAAAATATTACAAAGATGTACATTTGACTGTACTGCGAAGTACGAAGTACAAGAACTAAAAAAAAAGTACTGTACTTCCGAAATCAACCGGAATATTGAACTACGTCAAACTAGCACTTTATTATACTAAAATGAAATGGGCTATAAAACTGCAAAGGTACTAGAAATTTCCCTAAGAATGTTGTTTAAAAAGTTCGGAGCTTTTATAAAAATTTAATAAATTTTTATCTACTATCTATTTCCTACAAATCGTACGATTAGAAATCGGTGAGATTCGCAAAATATTTTCCAATACATTTAATGCAAGTAATAAATATTTAAAATAAAAACTGCTATAAACACTAAATGACGTCATATTCCTCGATTTAGGGCCAAATTGTTGTCATTTTGTTAAGAAATCTCCAAAATAAGTTTTGTAAATCGCACCGATTTCAAATAGTCCGATTCACGAAATGTCGCAATATGGCATTTGCAAACACAAAATTGTGTGGCAATGCTATCCCTAATATTAACATCTGGAGAAATGCCAAAAATCTGCCTAATAATCAAAAAATAGTAGTAATAAAACTACCTTCTTTTTTGTATCATGGAACGACCTATCGCAACTCCGGATTGCAAATGTAAATTTTTTTCATAATGCCCCGCATAAGTATAAGGTGCAATCCCGTATTCCTCGGACTCGGACTAGTAAAACTGTCAACAAATAAAAATTCGCTCAGAGCGAGACAGTAACATTGAAAAGTACGGGATCGCTTTCTAGTAAAAAATGGTAACTTCTGTCAACTTCAACATAACCTCCAAATTTTGGTTGTAAATTTTTGCTTATTTTGTATGTAAACACACTCAGCTCACACATGTAAATAACCAAAAATACTTTCAAATTCATTAGAATCCACTTAAACAAGTAATTAAATACTTTTCAACATGAATTAGCAGAGTGCACTTTTCTTTTGTTTACAATTTGGTTGCCAAACACACTACAGCTGATCGTTTGACACATTTCCGCAATCCAGAGCAGGAGAGAGAACACCATCTTGCGGGGTGCCCCATTCCCCGGCGACTTGAAGGGGTTGAACGAATTTATCGCCCAGGCTATGTGACGATCGTCCAGAAGATCGGGCAAGTACAGGACCTGAAGTACAAAATATTACAAAGATGTACATTTGACTGTACTGCGAAGTACGAAGTACAAGAACTAAAAAAAAAGTACTGTACTTCCGAAATCAACCGGAATATTGAACTACGTCAAACTAGCACTTTATTATACTAAAATGAAATGGGCTATAAAACTGCAAAGGTACTAGAAATTTCCCTAAGAATGTTGTTTAAAAAGTTCGGAGCTTTTATAAAAATTTAATAAATTTTTATCTACTATCTATTTCCTACAAATCGTACGATTAGAAATCGGTGAGATTCGCAAAATATTTTCCAATACATTTAATGCAAGTAATAAATATTTAAAATAAAAACTGCTATAAACACTAAATGACGTCATATTCCTCGATTTAGGGCCAAATTGTTGTCATTTTGTTAAGAAATCTCCAAAATAAGTTTTGTAAATCGCACCGATTTCAAATAGTCCGATTCACGAAATGTCGCAATATGGCATTTGCAAACACAAAATTGTGTGGCAATGCTATCCCTAATATTAACATCTGGAGAAATGCCAAAAATCTGCCTAATAATCAAAAAATAGTAGTAATAAAACTACCTTCTTTTTTGTATCATGGAACGACCTATCGCAACTCCGGATTGCAAATGTAAATTTTTTTCATAATGCCCCGCATAAGTATAAGGTGCAATCCCGTATTCCTCGGACTCGGACTAGTAAAACTGTCAACAAATAAAAATTCGCTCAGAGCGAGACAGTAACATTGAAAAGTACGGGATCGCTTTCTAGTAAAAAATGGTAACTTCTGTCAACTTCAACATAACCTCCAAATTTTGGTTGTAAATTTTTGCTTATTTTGTATGTAAACACACTCAGCTCACACATGTAAATAACCAAAAATACTTTCAAATTCATTAGAATCCACTTAAACAAGTAATTAAATACTTTTCAACATGAATTAGCAGAGTGCACTTTTCTTTTGTTTACAATTTGGTTGCCAAACACACTACAGCTGATCGTTTGACACATTTACCAGA